AGATCTCCGCATGGAGTATCCCTCACTTCCTTTAGTTGATTATTCAAATGTTATCTGCTTAGTGATGCATTTTCTGACTGCCTCACAGGATAGCAAATCTCATCCACTAACATTCTGTGATCCCTACAAAATGTTACATTTTGTACAGTTCTGTTTAATTTTGTCTACATTTCTGTTTAACTTTTCTACCTAACATGTCCTGTGGGTTAGTTATTTATTTTGATTATTGGTTGGGCACGAAAAAATAATTTCTATAAGGGTGAGGATTCTTATCTTTCTCTAAAGCTTTCATGTGAAATCTCAAAGTCAGACAGTTTTTAGAAAACAATTTCACTGTTAAATCCCCAGCACTTAAAATTGTACGCACGTAGTAAGTGGTCAATACACACCTGTTGAATGTGTTGAATGAATAAGTGAATGACAGTAAAAATACATACATGGGCTTCTGCTCCTGGGTGTGATGCAATAACCTGTGGCCAAAATGGTCTTGTGAACAGCTAGAAACACTACATTCTAGAGAAGTTGCCTATATGAGGAATCGGAAACCTACTGAGGAAACTGAAACTTAATGGGGTGAGACTAGAGGGACAAGATGGCTGGTAAAGTGAGTTGAATTTTGTGGCCACTTTTACCCTGAGAACATGTCTTGATTCTTGGCAAGGGCGGGAGAATCTGAGCTTTGCACTGATGGGGCATCACTCCTAGAGGAGGGCAGGGGAAACAATACCATCAGGGCTTTTGGAATAAATGTGCAAAGCCTTAATCATTCAGTATGTTTTCCCTCAGACAGTTTGGGGGGCTGTCTAGGACTGCTGTGGGTTGAATTGTATCCCCTCAAACGTTGTGGAAGTCAGTCCTAAGCCCCACCACCTGTGATGTGACCTTATTTGGATAGACTTTGTAGATGATCCCTTAGATAAGGTTATTAGGGTAAATCCTGATCCAACATAACTGTACCCTTATAAAAATGGGAAAGAGAAAAACACGTGCACAGGGAGACTGCCACGTGAAGAGGGGGGCAGAGAGTGTGGGTGATTCATCTACAAAATAAAGAATTTTGTCAGGGTGTGGTGGCTCACGCCTGTAATCCTAGCATTCTGGGAGGCTGAGGCAGGAGGATCCCTCTAGCTAAGGGGTTCAAGACCAGCCTGAGCAAGACTGAGACCCCATCTCTACTAAAAAGAAAACAGCCCCAGAGTTGTGGCAGGTGCTTGTAGTCCCAGCTACTCAGGAGGCAAGAGGGTCACTTGAGCCCATGAGCTTGAGGTTGCTTTGAGCTGTGATGTCATAGCTCTCTACCCAGCGGGATAGAAGCAGATTCTATCACACACACACAAAAGAATTTCAAAGATTGCAAGCAAATCTTCAGAAGATTTGTAACAGATTCTCCATTATAGTCCTCAGAAGAAACCATATAATGAAATAAAATAATGAAAAGAAGCAGAATATAAAAATGAGGGGAACATAAAGCCAAAGTCTGGTTCTTCGACTAGATAAATTGATAAATACCCACCATATGGTAGCAGTTACATGGGTGTATATATTTGTTAAAACCCCATACACATTTTTTTTATTTAATCATGGCTGTGTATATTAATGCAATCATGTACAATGTGCTGCTTTTATATACCATTTGAAATATTTTCATCAAACTGGTTAACATAGCCTTCACCACATTTTCTTAGTTATTGTGTTAAGACATTTATACTCTACACTTAGTAAATTTAACATGTACTCTTGTAAAATGCACCATAGGTGTGGTCCCACCAATTACCCTCCCTCCACCCATCCTCTCCCTCCCCTCCCCTCCCTTTCCTCATTCCCCTTCTTCATGGGCTATCCCTGTACACATTTTAAAATGCTGTAAGTGATACCTTAAGATGAGTATCTAAATTAAAAAGATGTAAAAACAAACATTATTTTCTGTCCATTCTCTTTCTTTTTTTCCCTTCTTTCCTTCATTGACTTACTGATTTCAAAATATTATAGGAATTATAAAAATGTCTTCATTGTAATTATAATGTATTTTATCAATATCATTAGGATTAACAATTTTTATTTATTATTCATTCATTGTCATATTATTTAATTATTATATTTAATGGTAATATTTTCCAGAATAGGAAATTAGGAGAAGCTAAAAACCTAAAGTCATAGAAAGACAATTGATGGATTGATAATTAAATTATATTGCATTTATTTGAATCTTTGCCTGGGCCATTCAAAAAAGATTTTGCTGGAAGGAGAAAAATGTGGTAACTTTTAGTGGTCTACATGTGAATATGGCTTTGAAAATATGTTTGAGGGAGGACTTGGTATCTAAAATGGGAGGTGTCCCTTAGGACAGGCAAGAAGTAGAGGCAGGTTCTGAGAACAGAGCAGACTTGCTTGGGATTAATTGGACCCCTGGTTTGCTGTGATCTTAGGTTAATAGCCCTAAATTGCCCATTGAGCAAATCCTTCAAGATGTGCTGTTTTTTCCTCTGGAGGCTGGGCCTTTTTGAACTTTTTTGAAATCTCTTTAAACATTTGATAGAGGAAGAATATACCTTTAATTCACATATTCAGCCAGAGAATATTTTGGTTTGATAGACCTGACTTTAGAGATGTTTCTATACAGAAGAGTAGGATATATTCTTTTTATCTATGAAAGTTCTAGAAGCAGAAGTAAGAAACTTTCTGCTGGCATTTTTTTATTAAATCATAGCTGCATACATTAATGCAGTCATGGGGTACAGTGTGCTGGTTTTATATACAACTTGAAATATGTTCACCAAACTGGTTGACATAGGCTTCATGGCATTTTCTTATTAGTTATTGTGTTAAGGCATTTATATTCTACATTTAGAAAGATTCACATGTACCCTTGAAACCATAGGTGTGGTCCCACCAATCACCCTCCCTCCACCCATCCTCCCCCCTCCCTCTCCCCTTTCCCCATATTCTTGGACTAAAATTGGGTTATAGTTTTCCTATGAAAGCTATAAATTAGATTCATAGTAGGGCTGAGTACATTGGATACTTTTTCTTCCATTCTTGAGATACTTTGCTAAGAAGAATATGTTCCAGCTCCATCCATGTAAACATGAAGGAGGTAAAGTCTCCATCTTTCTTTAAGGCTGCATAATATTCCATGGTGTACATATACCACATTTTAAACTCATTTTTAGAGTCTAGCTTCGGCCTTTTTAGGAAAGGTTGGCTGTCTGGGGAGCATCTCCTCTCTCCATAGTTTCTGCTGTAAAGTAGAGGAACCTAAAGTAAACTTTCCACCTTGCAGGCACACTGCACGTAATTATCTTCAAAGTAAATCAGAATTGAAAAAGAGAAAACTGTGAGCTTCCTATCGGATATCATCTCTCTTGCTCTGTGTGTGTGTGTGTGTGTGTGTGTGTGTTTATCCCACAAGGAAAAAGGATGAGTTTTCAAGCCCCACTGACTGATTTCTCCTCTCTTGGCTCCAACTCAAGACAACTAAGGACAGTTTTTATCCAGTTCCGTCCCCTGAGAAACATGAAGTTCCAGGGACATAGGTCTTCCAATGATGAGAAGATTCCCCAGATTGCACTGGCCTCTACTTGATGCAGCAATATTTCAGGTCAGTTCTGACAGAAAAGGAAGATGGAGGAAAGGGGACAGAGGTATAGTATCCAATATTTGCAGACTTTGAGGTCGGGGCAAGGGTAGGGATACAGGCAGATTATACACCATCAGAATGCGTTGGTACTGATGACACACAGGGTCCCCACACTGATAATGGTGATGTGGGCTGTCCACAACCTTCTATGTCATTTTCATACTCTGTCATCTATGTGGGGTTGGGGAAAGGGACAATAGAGGGTGGAGGAGAGAGAAACAAAATCTTTTAGTGAAATCCTAGGAGAAACGACCCTTCCTCCCTACCGTGGTTGTTAGCTCATCTTTATATTGTGCTTTTATGTCTCATCTCCTGAGTCTTCTTCCCTCTCTGACTCCTGTTCACAGTAACATTATTTTTTCCTTTGGGTTCTGGCTTCCCCTGTTATTCCAACCTGCTACCTCCTTCTTGCTATTACTTTTTTTTTTTTATTGAATGGTAACTATGTACATTAATGCACTTCTCGGGTACCGTGTGGGGTTTTCACACACAATGCTATTACTTTTTAAATGTGTATATAAAATGCTCATGTCTTTGCCACATGGAAGACAGCATCCATTCAATAGTTAAGACACATACGAACACATCAGTGGTTTCCTTCTTTACTTGTTTATGGTTTCTTGGCTTTACACTGGCTCCACCAGGGTGGCTGCAGTTTGATGCCTTGCATGGCATGTGGGGTGGAGCATTAGACAGAAGTTGCTGTGGATAACAAAGGCTTGGGTTCTGGGTGGTGCCTGTGACTCAGTGAGTAGGGCACCAGCCCCATATACCAAGGGTGGCAGGTTTGAACTCGAACCTGGCCAGACTGCAACAAAAAATAGCCAGGCATTGTGGCAGGGCCCTGTAGTCCCAACTACTTGGGAGGCTGAGGCAAGAGAATTGCTTAAGCCTGGGAGCTGGAGGTTGCTGTGAGCTGTGATGCCACAGCACTCTACC